GATTTTAATAATGATGAGTTCTTTTCTGGCCTGGCCAGTGGATTGTCGCAGGCCTACCCTTTGGCTTCATTAAAAACTATGCTTAGTAGTATTGGGAGTAATTTGGGTGTTCTCCTGCTTGTATTATGTTTTGTGCTTTTAACCTACAGGTGCTAAAAAAAGGGCAAGCAACTCAGTGACAGCAAAAATGAAACGTCATGGCTGTGTTCCAGCGTGTTCGCCTTCAAAATTAAATAAGATAGGGGGAGATGTAGAGGACTGACATATATTTTCCTAGTTTAAGAATTAAATTTAATGAATAATGTACATGTTCTTCCCACAGTGTTTAAAAGCAATGTGCTCTGGACAAGGTCCCTGTGATAAACAGGGCTCTTCCCTAGAGGCATAACAAAGGACCTGAGCTGCAAGTAAGCAAGAGCTACCCAGCCCACGGCAATGGGGGTCTGGAGGCCACACGATAAACACATTGTTCCTGTGATTGCTGCTTGAGCCCCATAAGATGGCTGGTTAGTCAATGACGGGTAAGACCCCTCAAGGGAGGGGCGACCTAAGCCAGCACAGCCACCAGGGATCAGCCTAAAATCTTAGGGGGTCACCCTAAGAAAAGCTGGGGATAAAAAAAATACCCCCTGTGGCTGCCTTGCCCATCCTTGCTAATCTTGGTCCGTGATCTATGCCTGGTGCCTAGAGCGACCACCTGGAAATTCTGAGCCAGGGGATATCTGCTTCCCTAACGCTACGTGTTCCGGAATTTATGGCCATTGCTGCAATGCCTGAGTGGTTACGTACAAGGAACTAACTTTAATTTTGAGTATAAAAATAAAACTGACCTGGTGTATTACTACTCAAGTCAACCGTCTGTATGTGTGTCTGCATTTTTCTTTGTATTCTGCATTTTTGTTTTATGTTCTGTGTTCATCCTCCGTCCTGTAAACGGGCCACAACACCACCCAAGCTTCAGCAGTGAAGAAGCCCTAAGTCACCAGCAATGAGGTCCCTGCACCAGCTTCTGTCCCCTGTGTTGCATGGACCTGGAAATCAGGAGAAGCCCTGGACAGGTGCTCCACTCAGGGGCCCTTGACAGACCTGGGTCTTAGGCTTGGGGGAAAGGAAAGGGAGTGAGCACAGATAGGGGGAGACAAAGCCTGAAAGAGGAGCTTACTTGTAGTGGGGAGAGGAGAGAGGTCACCAGAGCCACTCTGGGCTCTTGCACATGTGGTCCCAACCCCCGTTTGTTCCTCCCTGCTCAGCTCCAGTACAAGGCCTTTTCCTCTCCACCACACCCACGCCAGGTGGACTCATCTCTGCAGCCCTAACACCGCCCCTCTGCTGTAGGCGCTGATGCGCCCGCCTGGCAGGGCTTGTCCTCTGGGTTGTTCTTCCTGTAGTGGGGAGGGGTGGCCCTGAGTCACCATTGTGTTCACCTGGTTCCTCTGGTGGCCAAGGACACAGAAGGCAAGAGCGGTCCCTACCGTGCAGCTCCTAGTCTTCCTTGCGGGCAGGGACCCTCTTTAGCCCATGTGCTCCCAGGAGGCGGGCTAAGCGCCACGGGGCAGCGTCCGTCTGGCTTCTGCGTTCCTCTGGGGGCGCCCTGCTCCCTTGCCGGGTCTTCCCTGTGGGGCGCCCAGGGCCCCGCTCCTTTGCCGTCTTCCCAAATGGAGTCTGCTGCGCAATCTCCGCAGCACCCCACGTCTTCAAAATGTGGCAGAAACCTTCTCCCCTGGACCCACACCACAGAGCCGGCAAAGCACAAGTGCGCTCCTGGCGTTTTCGGCTCTTAGCCTTAGTAGGAGCTTCAGCGCTATTTTGGAATAAAAGAATAAATGAATGTGTCAGGCAACGCTTCCCCTTCCGCCTCACCAGGGACACATCTCCTCCTCTCTGGTTTCCCCCTGGTGCAGCCTGCCCGCCCAAGCACGCCTACGGGGCGCAAAGCCCCGGGGTGGGGGTGCCGCGGGGCGGGCGGGGGACACGTGCACTGGGCTCGGACCAGCCGGCACACGCCTCCCGGCTCACTGTCGGTCGCGGGCCTTCTGTCCTGCCCTCGTTCCTCATGGCGACTGTCCCCTGGCCGCTCCTCTCCCTACCGGATTACCACCCTTTGAGGGACGCGGCACAGCAGCACACTTCCACTGCGCATGGGGGGAGCACTGGGACCCCCCCCTGCCCGCTGTGGACTTGAAAATCCCCAAGGGGACTCTGCTAGGTGCCCCCACTGCAGCACAGTGCGTTGCTCCTCGCTGAGAACCCCTGCTCTGGGGAGTCTGCGCCCTACCCCTCTCGGCGGAGTATCCCGCGGTGTGGGCTGTGCTCAGCTCTGCCCTTCCTTCCTTCTTCCCTGCTCCGCTCCCTGCCCAGTCTGTCGCTCCATCCCCCACAAGTGTCCTCCTGGGGCTTGGCTGGGTCAGCCTCCACTTGCCATCTTCCCATGCCCTGTCCAAACCCTCCCGGCAGCCCTGCTGGCCCCTCCAGTGGACCCAGGGCACCAAAGACGGCACATGGGAGTGAGCACTGGGGGCAGAGCCAGGTGTGTCTTCAGGCCTTGAATCCAGAAAGAAGGATTCGGCAGGTGGAGGCTCTGCCCACCAGGCTATCTGCACCCCAATTCTTTTCACTTCACCCCTCCTTCCCAAAAGCAGCAGGGAGTCAGCTGAGGGACAGTCATGCTCCCTGGGCCCAAGCCTCCATTGCTCTGTTTAAGTAACATCTGATTTGGCCACCAGCCCTCTTGTCTTGTGAGGAGGTGCATACAGAGGCTGTGATTAACTCTCGGTCACAATAATATTTTCTTTCGTTCTGTGTTGCGAGTGCTAGGGAAAATAGCACTCACCGCTCATTATGTGCACCTAAGAAATAGTCATTGTTTCCACTGGCGCTATTAATGCTTTTTATTGCTATTGGTCACCTAGAATTAGAGACCCAGCTCCCTCGAGAGGGTGACAGGGCCAGGGTGTAGTCTGAGTGTGCTCTTAAGAGAGGCCGGAAGGACCTGAGTAGGAGGGCCTGAGTGGCCCCGGAGCGCCTGGGGACGGGCTCAGCATGGGCCTGTCTTCTCTCCTGTCTTCTGGGCCGTCTGAATGCCTCTCAGTGAGAGCCCCTCCCGGTGAGAGCCCCTCTCGGGCAGGGAGCTTCTCTTCCCCAGCATCTTCCTGGCACCTGATGCAGCACAGCAACAGAGGTTTCCAGTAAACACAGAGTCCCTGCCGGAGAGGCCAGCATCTGTCCCCAGCTCTGTCCCCTGGGACCCCAGGGCTAGCCTATCCCCACCAGAGAAGGGCGCCGACTCCTTGCCAGCGTGTAACGTTCAGGTTATTGCAAACATCTGCACACGCGGGATTTACCTGGACTCTCTCGACGACCCTAGGCGACAGGGTATTTGCCCTTTGGAGTTGCAGACACGAGTTCAGGGAGTTGAGCCTGATGCCCACTACCAGTGTCTGGGGACTCTACCCTGCAATCTGGGCGCTGTGCTGTGCGCACTAGGCCACGCTGGTTTTGCCTCTTCTCCCTAGATGGTCCCATGGCCTGGCTCGGGCCCTCACGCCTTGCAGGGCCTGTCGCCTGTCGCCTCCTCAGACTGCTAATGCGCGCCTCACTCCCTCCGCTCCGCCGCCTCTCGCTGCCTCGCGGCAGGTGCCGCCGCTAGAGCGCGGGCCTTGGCAGGGCCGGCAGACCGCCAGCGCGGGACGCCGGCGTCACGGGCGTGTGCACCGCTTGGCGGGCAGCCTGTGCCGGAGCTTTCCTAGGGCTCGGGAGCAGGCCTCGCCCCGCCTCGGGCGCCGCGCCCCCTTCCGGGGGTCGCCCTAGGGAGCCGTGACGTCGGGGCGCAGAGCCAAGGCCCGTTGGGCTGCCCTCTGGTGGCAGAGCTGGGGACTCCCGCACACCCTCCGGGAGCTGGGGGTTGGTGAAGAAATCCCCTGAAGTCCCATCCCAAGGTCACACCGAGACAGATGGCAGAGTAGGACAAGAGCCCAGGTCACAGTCTGACGGTCTCACCACGCTCTCCTGCCTGCCCCGTCGCAGGGGCTGAGATTGCTGCGAAAGAGAAGGCTTGTCTGGGGACGGGACTGATGACCGCCTTTGAGCACATTGGAGAAAAAAACTTAGGAGGTGGATTTGGCTTAATTTAACAAGTTTTTTAAACCAGTGCCAGGCACCTCGTGGGCACTTAATTAAAGATTAGAGGGAGAAAAATGCACAGTAGAAGAACTTGGTTTATACCAAAGCAAGTCTTTTTTGGCCAAATGAGTTTGAAACACGATATTGGATATTGGCTGAGGAGTTAAGACTTCTCCCTGGGGCTCCTACCTCGGGAGTGTGCCCCTCTCTCATTTAACCTTTATCACGTGTTGTTGCCATGATTTATGTTTGTTTCCTCCCTAGACGCAGGGCTCCTAGAGGGCAGGGAGGACTGAAGTTGCTTCCTGGGACTGGCAGCAGGACCCAGCACCCCACACAGCGGGTGCTCAGAGAATACCGTCGTGCGGCAAACAGATGAACGAATGAGTGGTTTGGAGTTTCCCTGCCTGGAGAGCATCAAAGCAGGACAGATGCTACCTGTTCTGTCTCGTCCAAGACCTCATTCCTGCCCAAAGGCTGAGGGCTGTGCCAGATGCTTTCTCAAGGCAACTCAGCTTCTATAATTAGGGTTTACCATGATACTAGTTCTAGGTTCTTTCTTTTCACTGGCCAAACATTTATTCACTATCTGCCATGCCCCAGGTACTAGGCTATTGTTCTGCATGTCTTTGACCCTATTCTAGTATTTAATTCCATGAAGTGAGATGTGAAGGTGCTCCTGTCACAGTCACTGCTGGGCGAGGTCAGCCAAGGCAGGCGGAGAGGAATGGGCCTTGTCTGAGCCGAATGAAAGTTGGCACCGTGGGTTTCCCTGTCTGCCGCTCCATGCCATCCCGGCCCACTCAGTCTCCTCCCCAGGTGCCAATACCCACTGCCTGTTAGTAGGTACTAGAATCTCCAGGGACCTCGTGCCTCCCCCTTCCCTCTTACTCACTACCTGTTGTGCTGGACGGGAAGAACTGATGTGGAGCCAGGCAGCCCTGCATCCAGCCCTGACTTTGGCACTTGTGACATGTCCTGGACTGGTGAGTCACCTCTGTGAAGTGGGCCAATCCTTTGTTTTATTGGCTGCCTCCCGGGCCAGGCTAGGAGAGGAGTAAGGGAGACAAAGACAGACAAGGACAGTCCCTGTCCTCAAGAGGCTCATCCCTGACAAGGAGAGGAGGGTGTGGGAGCCGCACAGTGCTCCGGAGGGAAGGCCGGCGGCGTGCCGTGAGGAGCCCTCCCTTCCTACCTGGGCCTCTCCAGTACTCAGTTCCTTTTCCTCACTGTCTCTCTTCTTCAGCGGTTTTTTCTCTTTCTTTTCCCAGCTACCTAATCTCATTGGCGTGGGGGATTCAGACCTTCCTCCCGCCGCACAGCCCGCGCAGTTCTGCCGAGAAGAGAGTTTCAGAAGGACCTTCCCTGGTTTCTCCCCAGCCCCGTGCGTCCAGCAGGGTCTTTTGTCCAGGTTATAGACCCTTTACTCCCACCATTTCAATCTACTCTCTGTCGACCACATTTGCCATTCATTAAAGAATTCACCCACTCATAAAACACATACTAGTGCACATGAAGGCCCAGACCCCAGTTCTGCCATTTGTCGCCTGTATGGCCTAGCATGAGTCGCTGTGCCTCGCCAGGCCTCTGTTTCTGTTTTAGGCAAGTGCTGATAGTGACAGGGTTATTGTGCAAAGTAAGCAGGAGCCTACTCTGCAGAGCATTTGGCAGCAGCCCCCAGAGCAGGGCGGGCGCGGCGGGGAGCAGCTGCAGTGGCACTTGCGTCTTCCCCAGAAGCAGACACTGCCCAAAGATTCAAGTAAGAGAGATTTATTTAAAAGTGATGAGGGAGGCCAGCGTGGTGGCGCACGCCTGTAATCCTAGCACTCTGGGAGGCTGAGGCGGGCGGATTGCTCGAGGTCAGGAGTTTGAAACCAGCCTGAGCAAGAGCAAGACAAGTCTCTACTAAAAATAGAAAGAAATTAATTGGCCAACTAAAAATATATAGAAAAATTAGCCGGGCATGGTGGCGCATGCCTGTAGTCCCAGCTACTTGGGAGGCTGAGGCAGGAGGATTGCTTGAGCCCAGGAGTTTAAGGTTACTGTGAGCTAGGCTGACGCCACGGCACTCACTCTAGCCTGGGGAACAGAGTGAGACTCTGTCTCAAAAAAAAAAAAAAAAAAAAGTGATGAGTGCAGAGAGGAGTGGAAAGGGAGTGGGGAAATGGGACCCGGGCGGGGAGTGAGACAAGGGTTGGGTGGGACGAGGTGGGGGTTGGGACCTGGCGGGGAAGACGGGAAGGAGGCCAAACAAATGAGCAGACACAGCACAGTCTCATGCGGACGACCTGGGCTCATGGGGCTGGGCATTGACACCTTCCTGTTTGCGGTCATCAGTTAGGGCCTGGGGTCGGCCAGGCAGTAAGAGGGTGGGGGCGTGTGAGGATGTGGGAGAGACAACATTTCCAGGTGATTCTAGCACTCTGCACCAGGAAGAGGTCCAGCTGCCCCAGGCGTAGGGACTCTGGGAGTGACACAGGCACAAGCACGGCACAGGGATCCAAGGAGGAACGTGCGGAACGCAGTCTCTGCCCTCCAGAGGCTCCAGGCCTGGGAGGGGAAGAGACATGAATCAATAAATCATGGTTGTCGGGATGACCCGGGTGGGCAGTGGTCACGAAGAGTTGTCCCTGAGACGTACAAGCGGTCTGGGAGAGGAAGGCCATTCCAGACGTAGGGAACAGCTCACAGGAAGGTAAAGGCAGGCAGGCGTGACACCAGGTGGGAAGGTGCCGCTGCCACCCCGCCACTCCCACAGGGCAGCTTCTGGGCCTGCTCTGCCCTTCCGGGACTGTCCCCCGCCCTCCAGGTCCTGCTCTGGGTCCTCCTGGAAGCCTCCCTTGACCATTCCAGCTCACCATGACTCTTCCGAACTCACGGCCTCTACCGCTAAGGCCACTGCCTTGGTGCTCGCTCAGGCAAGTATGCAGTTATATGCACCCTCACCGTCTGTGACGTTATTTAGCCGTGCCTGAAAATCCTGGCTCTCCCAGCTAAATTTTAAGTTTCCTGCGAGTGGAAACTGCATACTTTTATTGTTTCTATTCTTATATTCTCCCATGGCACCCAGCATTGGTGGACATATTAAAGTTATAAGATAATGAATGAATGAGTGAATCCGGTCTACTTTGGAGCCTATTAAATTCTACTAGGCTCACCCCTACAATTCTTATGTATTATAAGACTATTCCTAAACCCTAAGCTTAGTTTTGTTTCATTTGTGCTACGTGTAGGGTTTTTATTTTATTTGGTTGGTTATCATGAGACAGGATCTTGCTTTGTCGCCCAGGCACGGATCATAGCTCACTGCAGCCTCAAATTCCGGGCCTCAAGCAATCCTCCCTCCGCCAAAGTGCTGATATTACACCTGGCTACGGGAGGTGTCAACAGAGTTACCACTTAAGCAAATGGGATCCTTGGAGATGATTTTTAAGGTTTTACACCCTCAATTTCTTTTAGCCACTCTTCAAACCCACTTGACTGACACTGGGCCATGGAGATGTCTGGGATCCTGCCCTTTGAATCTGACTGCTTCCTTAAAAGATTTTGAAAAACTATGCCCCTTGCACATTAAGCCAACATCTAACATTTGTAATCACTTAAATATTATTGCAAAGGGCATGCTTCCCAGTGAATTGTAAGTATTTATTAAATATCACATCACATTTTTAAAATTTTATTATGCTGTCAGAGACTACACATTACTCTTTTAAGGGTAGCAAATGGAATATAATGCACTTTCACATCTGTTAACACCCTTTAAGAAATATGTGAACAAGCCCTTTAACCAGTCAGAAATTTTACCTTGTTCCTTTTTCTTTTTAGTTTGTTTTTATTCCACTTTCCCTATAGAATTTTATCTTAATGAAACAATTTTTTCATTGTATATCTCTTTTTTTTTGTATTTTATTGTATATCTTTTTGGAAAGTCTTTTATTATATGTCTAACAAAAATATGTATATAAATTGAAATTTATTTCCCATGAAAGTGTTAAAAATAAGGCCGGGCGTGGTGGCTCATGCCCATAATCCTAGCACTCTGGGAGGCTGAGATGGGAGGATTGCTTCAGCTCAGGAATTCAGACCAGCCTGAGCAAGAGTGAGACCCGTCTCTACAAAAAAAAATAGAGAAATTAGCTGGGTGTGGTGATGTGTACCCGTGGTCCCAGCTACTCAGGAGGCTGAGGCAGAACAGCTTGAGCCCAGGAGTTTGAGCCAGGTTGCAGTGAGCTATGATGCCATTGCACTCTACCCCGGGGGGACAGAGTGAGACTCTATCTCAAAAAAAAAAAAAAAAAAAAGTGTCAAAAATAGTTATTCTGTACTAGGTTTATATTGCAATTATTACAATTAGTCAAAACTACAGGCCGGGTGCGGTGGCTCATGCCTGTAATCCTAGCACTCTGGGAGGCCAAGGCGGGCGGATTGCTCGAGGTCAGGAGTTCAAAACCAGCCTGAGCAAGAGCAAGACCCCGTCTCTACTATAAATAGAAAGAAATTAATTGGCCAACTAATATATATAGAAAAAATTAGCCAGGCATGGTGGCGCATGCCTGTAGTCCCAGCTACTCGGGAGGCTGAGGCAGGAGGATCGCTTGAGCCCAGGAGTTTGAGGTTGCTGTGAGCGAGGCTGATGCCACGGCACTCACTCTAGCCTGGGCAACAGAGTGAGACTTTGTCTCAAAAAAACAAAAAACAAAAAAACTACAAATACTGACAATGCTTAAACATAAAAAGTAAACTTTTGCTGAAAATACATCTTAATGAGATGGAAAGGGTTTGTTTTCCTTTGACCTTTGGCCTCTCCAAGAAGGGCACCCTGGTCAAGCTCAGGGTGGGCAAGAGATTCATTTTAGGAAGGGACACATATACATCTGAAAGTTGATCTACCCATACGCTTCTGGGAAAGTTTGCATGTACCACCGGTGGCATCCAAATCATAGGCCGCTGAAGTGACTTGTTTTCCCACCTTTGATACAAGGGTCCCAAGTTTGACGTAAGGAGGGTGTGGGCCTGCCCTTACAACCAACCCTCCTCCTGCAGAGCCCCGCAGCCTCACGCACCGCACACGGGCAAGCTAGGCACTCAAATTCTGTCCAGATCTCTGTAAGGTTAGGGCTGTGAGCAGGGCATCTTAATATTTAAAAAACCTAATCATTAGTAAAGAAGCTGCCTAGAGTCAGAATTAAGTAAACACGGTTTTTATTTTCCGTTTCTTGGAAGCACCATCATTGTCTGCTGTTAGTTCCCAGCTGCAGGCCGCCAGGTGGCACCGGGGGACACAAGGCTGGCAGCCCTGCCCCGGCGTCCCGGGTGGGGCAGAGGAGATGGGAAGCGGGCAGGGGAGGACGGACACGAGGTAGGAGTGTACTTAGGCTGTCAGAGAAAAAGAGAGGGGAAATGTGGGGGCCAAACACAGATCTCGGGAGGAGACAGAAAATTCTGACAACACTCTCTGAGTTCAGAATAGAGTTGAGGGAATGAAGAAGGGACTTACAGAGGTAGGCTAAACTGGGAAGATTTAAGGGGAATCAGAGGGTGGAGTCGGGTGTGGGTGCACTCCGCCTGGAGACGCCTGGGAGCAGGGTGGCTCTGGACTTCCTGTTATCTGTGCTCTTCCCTGGGTGGGTCAAGGTCTGGCTCCTCTGGAGATCCGTGGTCCACCTCAGGGGCAGGGGGCCAGGGGTTTTCTGGGGGCTGGGGTCCTACTGGCCAGGGGTCATCGGGCCGGGGAGGTCGAGGAGGATCAATTCTAGGGGGCTCAGGGGGCCAGACTCCCGATTCAGGCAGGTCTCTCCAGGGATGATCGGGGCCTGGAGGTGGAGAGTCCTTAAAGAGAGGGGGTGCCCCTGGCCAGGGGTCCCCAGGAACTGGAGGACCCTGAGGAAATGTGGGGGAGCCCTCTTCCTCTCGGGCCTCTGTGGGTGGGGGAGACGGGTGGCCTCCACTGCCTGAGATGCCTGGAGAGTAGGAAGGAGAAAGGTGAGAGGTGGGCAGGGCCAGACCGCTCTCCCCACCCATCCCAGCTACAGACCCAGGAGGCAGAGCCTAGACACAGCCTGAGCTGATCCCACAAACAGACCTCAAAAGTCTCTCAGAGAGCTTTCTGCACACTTACAAATACTGGAATGATCTTAAAATGACATGACCCCTACCACCAGCACTAATCTGAACCATTACCTTGACCGACTGTAAACTGACAAGACCTCCATCCAACCGTGGTCAGGCCACCTCAGTGGCATGACCCCCAGGCCAGCCTGCATCCCAAAGGGGCCTAGACCTTGGTCCCATTGGTACCCAGACCCCATTTCTACAGTGACTCCAACCCGCTTAACAAGGCCCTGGCTCCGATGAATGGTTGCCCCACACACCTGAATCCGGACTTACATCCGAACCAGCAAAACATTTATTCTGAGCCTAAACGCCCCTTCCTGCATCCCCTTAACTCTTCCCCTAATGCGAATTTCCCAGATCTCCCCCACCCCGTGAGTCCAGTTCACCCCCTTCCTTCTTAGCAGTCACGCTCACTGGCCGCGACCATCCCTTGCCACCCAAATTGCACTCCTGGCCTCTGTTCCCGCTCACCTCTCGCACACAGGCAAAGGAGCAGGACCCCCAGTAGCTTCCAGTTGAGCATCATGGCTATCTCCTGGCCCCCAAAGCCAGGGTGGGCGGCGTCTGGGTGCCTGGGAACCCAGAGAGGCTTTATAGGGGAGGAGGGAGAAGAGGAGGCCAGTCTCTGGGGAGGGCCTGGCCCAGTGACACATGGAATCCCATCAGAACCGAACTGGTCAAACCCGTTTGGAAGGCCAAGGTTAATGTGTAACCTCTGATGGTGGCGTCCCTCATTTTAGTCACCCAGCCCAAGCCCCAGCTGCTTGGCTCCCCCTACTGTGACCCAGACCCTGGGTCACCCCACTTTTGTTTCACACACCCCCATCTACACTCTGCAGCACTCAGTACCCACCTGGCAGCTCCATAATCATAGGGATGTCCACCTTTCATAATTTGCAGCTATTGGAAGCCAAAGAATGGGAGCAAACTAGCGTGGGGAAGGAGCCATAATTGCAGGGGCCAGGAGGCAGGACGCCCGGGTGTGTCTTCCCACCCACCCACCCACCCACACGACCAACCGCTCCACCGCTCCAGCTCAGAGCTTCCTCCTTTCCCTGGCACTTCCCGCCCGCCCACCCTCCCCAGCCCCAGGCATGCTGCTCTCCAGCACGTGCCTTCTTCAGGCATGCAGGGCCCTCCCCAGCAGAGACGGCTGAGGAATTCCTTCCTGGAGCCACCTGGGTGACTACAGAAGAGGACGATGATGTGAGGATCTCTCCGTTCCCTCTCCCCACCCAGAGCTGGTTAGTCAGTCCCGCCCAGAGGCTCAGGAAGAAGCCACCTCACTTCTATAAGCTCAGCCCCTTAGTTCCTCCTCCCTCAGGGGTCCTCCTCTCTGTCCCCTGGCCCAGGCCCTGGTGCTTGGCTCCTCCCTCCCCTCTTCCTCTGGGTCTCAGCTCCCCTGTCTTAGTCAGAGAGCCCCCTAGAACTTTTCCCTCCAGGGGAAAAGTTGGTTTTATTCCCCCTCCTCTGCTTGGATGTCCACAGACCTCTCTGAGGGAATGTGTCCAAAACAGAGCTGGATTCCTCCCCAGGCTGCTCCCCGCCTGGTCTGCTGCCCCTGCAGTAGAAGACACCACTGCCCCTGGGGCTCACCTCATGTTGAAACCTTCATTCTCCCCATCCACCTGCAAGCCCTGTTGCCCAGCATCCAAACCCAGCTCACTGGTCCTGAGCCACTGTCTCTCCTCCAGCCTCCCCTACCCTTCCAACTGGCCTCCCTGCTCCCACCCAAACCCCCACACACACCCAAAGGATTTCTTTAAAAAGATATGGAGGGCTGGGCACAGTGGCTCACGCCTATAATCCTAGCTCTCTAGGAGGCTGAGGCGGGCGGATTGCTCAAGGTCAGGAGCTTGAAACCAGCCTGAGCAAGAGCGGAGACTTGTCTCTACTATAAATAGAAAGAAACTGGCCAACTAAAAATATATATAGAAAAAATTAGCCTGGGGGCGCATGCCTGTAGTCGCAGCTACTGGGGAGCCTGAGACAGAAGGATCGCTGGAGCCCAGGAGTTTGAGGTTGCTGTGAGCTAGGCTGACGCCACGGCACTCTAGCCTGAGCAACACAGTGAGACTCTGTCTCAAAAAAACCCAAAAGTATATGGAATTATGTCAATTTTTTTCTGATTAAAAAAGTAGCTCTATACCTGTAATCCTAGCACTCTAGGAGGCTGAGGCAGGCAGATCGTTTGAACTCAGGAGTTTGAGACCAGCCCGAGCAAGAGCGAGACCCCACTGCTACTAAAGATAGAAAGAAATTAATTGGCCAACTAAAAATACCAGTATATAGAAAAAATTATCCAGGCATGGTGGTGCATGCCTATAGTCCCAACTACTTGGGAGGCTGAGGCATGAGCCCAGGAGTTTGAGGTTGCTGTGAGCTAGGCTGATGCCACAGCACTCTAGTTGGGGCAACAGAGTGAGCTTCTGTCTCAAAATATATATATATATATGTGTGTGTGTGTGTGTGTGTGTGTGTATATATATATGAAAAAAAAAGTAGCTCTACACCTATAATCCTAGCACTCTGGGAGGCCAAGTCGGGAGGACTGCTAGAGCTCAGGAGTTTGACACCAGCCTGAGCATGAGCGAGACACTCCCCCCACCTCCAAGTCTCTACAAAAAAATAGAAAAATTAGCCGGGTGTGGTGGTGCACACCGGTAGCTTCCCAGCTACTTGGAAGGCTGAGATGGGAGGATCATCTGACCCCAGGAGTTTGAGGTTGTAATGAGCTATGTTGATGCCACTGCACTCTAGCCAGGGTGGCAGGGCAGGGAAACATTGCGTCCAACAAAAAACAAAATAAAAAAATACTCTTAGGGCTTTTTTTTTTCCCAAGAATCCTAAGTCAGTCTCTATCATATGATTGTACTGTACTTCCTCTTCCTAGCACTTATTGTTTGAAACGATCTTGTTTGTCCATTTAGATCCTGTCTATGGTAGGCCTCTCCTACCCCAGCCCACCACCATGGCCCCAGGCTGGTGCAGTGCCTGATTCTGACATTCCTGTTGAGTGAGTAATGTTTTATCTTCCCCACTCCTGGCATTTATCATCTTCCAAAGGAAAAGAGTTTTAAAACAAAAGTTGAGAATAAAGAAAAACAGGAGCTTTTCAAAAAACTTTCAAAGCAGCTTAGGAAAGGGGTTTTGAAAACGGTGCCATCTAGAGAAAGAGCAATGTGTGGGATCACTTCTCACCTCTCCAGGAGAGGAGGGTGCAGGAAGAATTCCCATGTGTTCCCATAGATGACACTGCCAATGGCTCCTACTGTAGTCATCTTTATTTAGTGCAGGAGGATTCAGACTTGGTGGCAGCTCGTGTCCCCAGTGCCAGCTGCTGGGTGAGGAAGGGGCTGGGCCCTGCCCCTCTTCTCCAGGATCCTCCAGCCCCCAGGCTGGCTTTCCCTCTGGGCCTCTGCTGCTCAGCTGCTCAGCGTTGTTGTGGGACTGGAGCTGGAGAGTTCTGGTTGTCTCCTTGACAAATAGCTTCCTCTTTGGAAATGGCCTCACTCAGGCCCTGCAGGTTGTCAAGCAGGACAGAGAGGGACCCTGGGAAGGTAAACAGCACGGGACGGGCACCAGACAAGAGAGGGCTCTTGCGGTTACTGTGCAGAGGGAACAGGGCTGGCACAGAATATGAGGGTTAGCGGGGAGAGGGTCTTTGGTCCAAGGTGTGTGTGAATAAAAGAGGCTAAGAGCCTCCAAGGATCACGGAGAACAAGCTCATGAATGCAAGAGCGCCCGAAGGAGAGACTCCTGCAGGCCCCCATTTGTCCCTCTGTGCTCAGCCAGTTACCTCTTACGGATCCCCTGGTGGGCTGCGCTGCTGCTGGAGGTGGAGGTGCTGAAGCCGCCGGAGGCCTGGCGCTGGGTCCCACAGCCTTCTCCTTACCCAGCAGGGAAGGAAGGACCGCCAGCAGTCGCTGCTGCTTGTAATGGGAGAGGAGACCCTCCTGCTGCAAGGTGGCCTGGGAAGGAGAGGTTGAACGCTACCTAGCCCGGGCAGAGCCTCCCTGTCCTCCTTCCACACTTCTATCCCCCAACCAGCCCAACATGGGCCCTGGTCTCTACTGCCCCCTACCAGCATGAGGTTCTTGTCCCTCTCTAGCTCCTGCACATGCCAGGTCAGTCGCTGCACCTCCTCCTTCCGAGCTTCCTCCTGCAGACACCTGAGCTCCTGGTTCCGCTCCTTTTCCCGGGTGGCTTTGCGCTGGATCTGGCGCAGAGAGACCACTACAGAGAAGCCAGGGCACAGAGAGGACAAGTGTGAGTCAGCCAGGCCCTCCCCAGCAAGGAGGCAGGAAGGTTGGACCAGCAGCTCTGTGGGTCTGCTGTCTCTTCCGTGCCATGAGAGGGCTGGGCTGCGGCTCTAGGGCCCTGGGAATCTGTGACCCTAAAGTGCCTTCCCGACCCCCAAACCACGCCAGATCCCTAGAGGAAATCTGAATATAGACTGGATATTAGAATTTGTGCAGTGTTCATTTTCTTGAAGTATGATAATGGCATTACAGCGACATACAAGAATTTCCTATTTGTGGAGATGCCACTGAGCAACCACGTTTGCAACTTACTTCAAATGGTTCCAGAAAATATATAAACTTGCAGAGATAAGAGATCAAGTGTGGCAAGTGTTACCTGCTATGCTAAATTAGGGAAGACATATGAATATTCATTACATAATTCTTTTTTGTTTTTTTGAGACAGATTCTTGCTCTGTCCCCCGCAGGTAGAGTGCCGTGGCGTCAGCCTAGCTCACAGCAACCTCAAACTCCTGGGCTCAAGCGATCCTCTGGCCTCAGCCTCCCAAGTAGCTGGGACTACAGGCATGTGCCATCATGACTGGCTCATTTTTCCATTTTTTGTAGAGACAGGGTCTCACTTTTGCTCAGGCTGGTCATGAACTCCTGAGCTCAAGTGCTCCTTCTGTCTCGGCCTCCCAGAGTGCTAGGATTATAGGTATGAGCCACCACACCCAGCCCATTATATGATTCTTTTAACTTATCTAGGTGTTCCAAATTTCTACTGGGGAGGGTAATTGCTGACGTTAGACGTCCAGAAGGTGATGGCCTTTGTGGAGGGGCAGTGACTGGGGTCGGGCCAGGGGCCTCTGGAGTGTGCTGGCTACGTGGCTCACCAAGTGAGAATTCATCTGCGCTATTCCTTGATATCTGTTACTTGCATATTTCAGTAAAAAGCTTTTAAATAAGAGTTTGAGGGAAGCCAGGCGCAGTGGCTCACGCCTGTAATCCTAGCACTCTGGAAGGCTGAGGCAGGAGGATCGCTCGGTCAGGGGTTTGAAAACAGCCTGAGCAAGAGCGAGACCCTGTCTCTACTAAAAATAAAAAGAAATTAATTGACCAACTAAAACTCTATATACAAAAAATTAGCCGGGCATGGTGGCGCATGCCTGCAGTCCCAGCTACTCGGGAAGCTGAGGCAGGAGGATCGCTTGAGCCCAGGAGTTTGAGGTTGCTGTGAGCTAGGCTGACGCCATGACCACTCACTCTAACTGGGCAACAAAGTGAGACTATGGCTCAAAAAAAAAAAAATGTTTCAGGGGAAACAACAAGCTATTTCTTAGCCCGTCTTCCCGGAAGGGGCACGTCCACCCCGGAAACTCTCACCAGCCTTCGCATGCTCCCTGCGAGCCTCGTTCAGTCTCCTCTCCGTGTCCGACAGCTGCTCCCGCAGCCGAGTTTCCACTTCAGCCACCTTCTCTTGCAGAGCTGGGGGGAGGTACAGACCAGAGCATCAGGAAGAGCCTCTGTTCATGGTTCCCACCCCGCCTGCCACGGAAAGCCCCCTCTGCCCCCACACCTTGCCCATAGAGCTCCTGCTGCTGGGTCAGCTCCTGCCGGAGACTGGCAGCCTCCTCCGTGCTCTCCTGCTGTCCCTGGCGAGCCGTTTCCAGCTGCAGCCCCACGCTGGCCAGGGACTCCTGGGTCTGCTGCAGCTCCTTCTCCAGCTGCTGGGCCACCTTGCTCAGCTGCTGCCGCTCCGCCTCCCCTGGGAGGAGGTGGCGCTGGCTCAGGCCTCTCCATGCACCCTAGACCCCAGGTCTTCCCTCCTCTCTATCCCGCCAGACTCAAGGACTGGGTGTACCTTGCTCCCGGGCCCGGCCCACCTCCTGCTGGATGAGGTGGGCACTCAGCTGCAGCTCTGCATCCAGGCGGTTCCGTTCTTCCCGAAGCTGCTGCAACTCAAGGCTCAGGTCTATGACTGGTGGGGGTGGGCGTGGGGGACAGCTGGGACAGGGGAGAGAAGCAGAATCAGGGGAGAGCACCCTGCTGACTGACCTCTAGTCCCCCATCCCTCCTGAGTCCTCATGGTTTTGGGTCCCAGCAGCCAATACCCTAAGCCCCCACCCCCACCCACCACCCTGTCCACCTCCAAGTGCCCAAACTTCACCTCTCCTGGCGCAGCTGAGCAAGGGCCAGCTTTCGAGCCATCAGGCCTGGGAGGGAAAAGGCAGATAGCAATAGAGACGAGTTTGCAAGGGTGAAGGGGAGACAGGAGAGTGAGGGGGAAGAAATGCAATGACTGCCGAGAAGAGGACGGTAGATGGACGTGGATCAGAGAGCACGGGGCCAGGAAGAAGAGGGTGAGATCCTGGCGGGGCGGGGGCAAGCTGCCCTACCCACCCTGAATGGTGTGGACCTTGCGGATGGCATAGCTGAGTCGGTTGCTGAGGCTGGGGAGCCGGGCTGCAGCCTGTTCCATCTTAGCCACGGTGCTTTGGACCCAGATCTGAGAGCTGCAGAGGGCACAGGTCACTGACCCTCCTCCCTCCCCTCTTTCCCAAAGGACGCACTGTGCCTTGCACAGACAACCCCTATCCTGTACTGTCATACTAGTGAGGGACACATAGCTTTCGTCGATTTTCTAGGGGCCCTTGCCCCAAGAGTGCACTAAATAACTGTGGATCTTTCCAAGCAACCTGTGAACCCTGTTTGGCATAACCTGTGTTTTGTTCACTATTGTGCATCAAAGTTACCCTGTCCAACAAGCCCAGGAGCACATTCTCCAGCACAATAAGGGCAGGTTCATGAGCTTTATCAGCTGGCTGTGCCAGAAGCAGGACCAACAGGGCTCACAAACACTGGGAAGCTTAAACGGGCACAGGGAGGAGGCCAAAGGAGTGTCTACGGGGACAGCTGGGACTTCCTCAGCAGAGTCCAGGGCTGTATCGACAGAAAAGCAAGTGAGGACAAAGGCTGGCAGCTGGATCCACAGCAACACAGCAAAGATCACTTTGGCCTGGAAACTGTTTAAGTAGGTGCTTCCTGTGGCCACTTTCTGATAAGTCTCCAAGTCACCAGGGACTATCTAACAAATCTGGCATCAATCTGAGTTTGGATTGCTTTAAGTCTGGAGGGCTTCTAGCAATGAATCATTGGCAAGAGCATTTCTGTGATCTCCTAAGACCAAAGTAAAACCCTGTCCACAGCGTCTCTCTGTTCTCCTGCAGGTACGAGGCACATGCAATGGACAGACTCTGGGTGGTGGTACACCACAACGAGTTTAATTCCATGTACATTTGAAAATTTTTCATAATTTTTAAAAGCTCAATGTTTCCAAGGTACAAATCCAAGAGAAGGAAGTAGTGGGCAAAGACTCATCCTGCACTATAATTTTGCCAAACCAACAATTGTTATCTGACCAATCAAGAAAAGCCTCATGGTAACAGTAAATATTACAGGACGCAAACTGTAAGCCAGCTACCATGCTGAGTGCTCTACACGGACGACTGGCCTCAGGCATCTCAATGTCCAAGGCTGAGGGGAGGTCTTTCTAGAGGTTACATAACATTTGTCAGGGCCGGGCGCCGTGGCTCACGCCTATAATCCTAGCACTCTGGGAGGCCGAGGCAAGCGGATTGCTCCAGGTTAGGAGTTCGAAACCAGCCTGAGCAAGAGCAAGACCCCATCTCTACTAAAAATAGAAATAAATTGGCTAGACAACTAAAAATATATAGAAAGAAATTAGCCGGGCATGGTGGCGCATGCCTGTAGTCCTAGCTACTCGGGAGGCTGAGGCAGGAGGATCGCTTGAGCCCAGGAATTAGAGGTTGCTGTGAGCTAGGCTGATGCCATAGCACTCACTCTAGCCTGGCAACAAAGCGAGACTGTCTCAAAAAAAAAAAAAAAAAAAGGGAAGATCAAGTATCCACAGTCCCATCCTTGAGCAATTCTGAAGGTGAAGATGCTCCCAGGTGCTGGATTTAGCTCAAACTGTTACTAGACTGCACTGCGGGAGGAAGCACAGCCTCACCTCCAGCCCAACATGCAGCGAGAACTCGTTAACAAGTGTCCACAGCACCAATGTAGAGGGACAGGCTGGTCTCAAACTCTGGGGCTCAAGCGATCCTCCTGCCTTGGTCTCCAAAAGATTACAGGCATAAGCCACCATGCCTGGCCCTTCCTGACTCTTTAACTCCAAGGTGCCCAGGAAACTGGGAGGCAGAAATACTACTTCGCTCATCCCTCTACCCCAGATACCTGCTGACAACATTGGCCAAAAGCCTTAGCTGCTCCTCAGCCACGGCTGTCTGCTGCTGCCACCGGCACCTGGCCTCCTGAGCGCGGCTCAGCTCCATCTGCAGGGCCTGGGGAATGTGGTGAAAGACAAGGTCCCTCATTGGGGACCGGCCACCCTCCCTCAGTCTCCGCCTGGCTCAGACACCTGGCCCAGACACCGACCTTGGCACCCATCCGCTCCACCTCTACCTCCGTAGCTTTGTCCTGCAGGGAGCGCTGCAGGATGGCCTGCTCCTGGCTGTGGGTTGTCATTTGTTCCTGGAGCTCTGCCATCTGGGGAGAAGAGGGAGCTGGGCAGGGCTCTCCAGAGCTGAAAGCTGAGGGGACAGTGGGAGTGAAAGGGCAGGTGCAAAGGTCTCTGCAGGAATGCCACACAGGGAGACAGGAGCTTAGTTTCCTGAGAATGGAGTCTGGGTCCAGTGTTCCTTCCAGAAGCACTTTCCATGTACCCACACCTTGAGCAACCTCCCCCTGACCCTCCCACAGGACCCAGCAGCTCAGACCATGCCACCCACACTCAGATGTTGTCACCTCCTCAGAGAGGCTGTTCCCAACTATCCTACCTGAGGGTGACCCACCCTCAGTCTCTGTCACAACAAATTTATATAATTTGGCATTATCTGTTTATTTGCTTCTTCTGAGTCTCAGCTCTAGAATGCAAACTGCGTGAGAGCAGGGACTTGTCTGTTTTGTTCATGGCTGCGGGCACAGCATGTGGTAACCACTCAATAATATTTGTTGAGCGAATACCATCTGTATGGAAGGAGGAGGGAGCAAGGAGCTGGGGGGAATGTAGGGGCCAAAGAGTGCAGCGACCTGTCCCTTCAGCTGCTTAACAGAGTCCCTGTGTTCCAGCTCCTGGGCCTTAAGCTGCACCATGAGGGCAAACACCTTCTCCCGCCAGCGCTTCAGCAGGGACTGGCACTTCCTGGTAAACTCGGGCTTCAGGGAATCTGAAGGTTGAACCTGAGGGTGGAGGAAGGGGAGGAAAGTGTGGGCTCCTGGGGGAGTAGATGAAGGAGGTGGCATCTGTGTTTCTTTTCTGTCCTGCCCAAGGGAAAGGAGAATCAGCAAGAAGCGTTCACAAAAGAAAGGTCCGGGCGGGTTCCGGGGCACACAGGGAGGGAGGCTATGGACAGCAGGTGTAGGGTCCAGCAGAGGGAGTGGGGCCTGGGGAAGGGCCCTACCCTCCTGGTCAGCTCCTCCTCCTGCAGGGCGAGGATGTGCGTGAGGCTCTGCACCCGCACCTGCAGCAGCTCGGCGGTGGCGTGCAGGCCGTCCCGGTCCTCCTGCAAGTGCTGCGGGTGGGGAGAGCAGCCCCTCTGTAGGGCCCCCAGGCCTGGGGACTGTGCTCCACACTCTCCTCCAGGTGCCACCCCTTCCCATAACCTGGTCCTGAGCCACATATCCCGCTCCCGGCCCCAACACAGATGCACCCCTGCACTCTCTCACCTGCACGGTTTCCAGAAGCTCCTGTCGCTCTGGTTCCCACGCCTGGCTGTGGACCTCGGGAGGAACTTGCTCCCCCACATATTTTCTTAGATTCTCAACCAGTGTTACCTGTGCCTCCAAGTCTTCTTGGGTCTTGCTAGAGTTGGGGTGGGAGCAGGGCAGCCATCGGTGGGGGGCCCTGGAGACCTGCCACAACCCCAACTTCTGGACCCCCCCTTTGGTGCCTACCCCCAGCCACCCACCTTAGCTGCTCCCGCAGCTGCTCGGCCTCCCCCTGGGCCACGGCCAGCTCCTTGGCTTCCCCTGCCTGCCTGGCTTCCAGACTACCCAGAGACTTCTCCAAGCCCTTGGCCTTGTTGGTCAAACTGGAAAGAGCCTCCTGGTGAGCCTGTGTCAAGGAGGACAGCTGCAGAGAGGAGAGAGGGCTCAGCAGGGCCAGCCCCCGACACGGCCTTCCAACCTCCCCTACCCCCACCCTGGCCTTGTCCCTTCACGCCTACCTTCTGTGACCTTAGAGAACAACCCTACCAATCACCCAGTTGCACATGGCAAACAGAGATGGTCCCTGGCACCTCACTCTCCCTGGTCATCCCCCAACCCATCAGCAGTTCCGTCAGGCCTCCCCCAAACATATCTTCACCTCTCTGTCTCTCCATCTCCACTGCCACCAACCTAAGGTAAGCCACACTCCTCTCCCGCCTGGACAACAGCAACTGTCTCCTAACTAGTCTTCAAAACCTTCAGTGGCTCCCCCACAGCATTCAGAACAAGACCCGGACATCTCCCCGCGCCTGTGGGGCCAGGTGACCAGGCCTCTGTGCACTGCCTGAGCTCACCCTCCTGGCTCTGCCACCGCTCCCAGCTTCCACCACAGGAGTCTACCAAGAACCGGATACCTCGTCTTGGCTCCCCAGACCCTGAACGACGGCCCGTCCTCAGGGAGGCCTCACTGGGCCCCTAATCCCTCACACTCTGCCCTGATCCTGTTCCCCTCCAGAGAACGCAGCATGTGACAGCACCGTGCTCACACAAGCGTTCACCATCCGTCACGCTCTGTGAATGAGGCTCTAGGAAGGGAGGAACCATCTTTTGCTCACCGCACCTTGGATGGTCACAGGGGTATCAGAGCCACCAAGAGACACAGGATAGACAGGTAAGGAGGGCAAAGTGGCCACCCTGCTTCCCAGTCTGCCCCTCTTTAGCCCTGTCTCCGTACAATAGTAAAGTGACTTGGGGGGAGATATAAATCACAGAACTGGTCTTTTCAGTCACAAAATCCAAACCTGACCACATCATTTTCCCACTGAAACCTTTCCTTGGTTGCTCACTGCTCCTAAGATGCAGTGTCAAGTTCTAACCTAGCCAGAGGCCTGGCACCTTGTCCCAAGCGGCAGCACATAGGCGCCTCTCATGCCTGCGTTCCAGCCCTCTGGCCCCCTACCCCTCACCTGCCCGTGCCACCCTGCTGAGCGCCCACCAGCTCCCAGCGCCACCCACACGCCCCTTCACCTGCCGGCGCCTATCCAGCACAGATGTGGCTACTTATCATGGAGCTTCGCTCATGAATGTGAAGGTCGTTTATATGTTCTCTGAACTGTCCCTTGTCTGTTTTCTGATTGGATTGCTGCTCTTCCCCTTACCAATTTCTAGACACATATTATATATTAGGGATGGTAGCCTTTTTCTGTGATATAAGCTATAAATATTCTTCTCTAGTTTATCATGAGTCCTTTTAATTTTTTTTTGTCATTCCTGTTAATTTTACAAAGTCAATGTATCAATCTTTTCACCCCAGACTAACTTTGGACTCCCTTGTCCTTCTCCTTCAAGGCACTGCTCCCAATCGCAATAAATTAATTATGATTAAATTAAATGTGGATACGTGTGTCCTCTATGAAGCTGTCAGCTCCATCCACGAGGGCAGGGACTCAGGCTAACTTGGTCACTGAGTTTCAGGGATGGCAAAGAGTAAGCTGAGTTTGTAGACTGAATACTCTCCCCTCTTCTGTCCACCATAGCACCCCACAATGCCCCCAGGTGAGCCGGTACCTGGAGTAAAGCAGGGAGGAACACTATCTCCTACTGGGAGGGGAAGGAGGGCTTCAAGTGATGGGAGCTCACCTGAGTCCTGGGGAAAAAAAGTGCAATCTGAATAAGACAAAACACCCAAGTTCTCCTCCTTTCCAGGCCACTTATGTTTTTCTCCTTGCTCCAATGCTCACGGGAGTCTCTTCTGCGACACCTGCTCCTTGCTGGGAAGCCAGTGCCCAACTCTCCCTGTTATGAATCTGAATCGCTCCTGCCCCCACATTCACCTGCTCTTGGTGCAGCCTCTGAATCTCCTCCAGCTCCCGCTTGCTTCCCTCTTCCAGGTTCTTCCGGACAACCTCGGCCCCGGCCAAGGCAGCCCGCAGGCCCTCAGCCTCTGCTCTGCCAGCCTTCTCTGCCCGTGCCAGAGCCTCCAGCTCCATGGCCTGGGCTTCCAGCCTCATCTTCTGCTGCAGCGAGGTCTCCCGCAGGGCCCGGACCTCATCCTCCAGTCGCCGCAGCTCTTGTAGCTGCCGAGAGATCAGCTCAGCCTGCTGGCTCAGGGCCTGTGACCCAGCCAGCTCCAGGGATCTTCAAAGACAGGTTGGCACAGGTGAGACTTGTCTCCAATGCCCAGGGCATAAATGGAGACAAAAGGAAAAAAGGACCCCTCTGTTCCCGTGGGAGGAGGTAGGGGGATGAAGCTGGGGCACAGAGATCTCTGTATTTACATCATCACCATTCACCATACCCTATGCACACTAGGTCCAGTGCCTGGGCTCACAGGACTAAAGGCTAGCTGAGATCATGGAACCTGATCTCTCTAGAGAGCTATATACAAGCAGAAGCATTAAAACGTCAAATGTGCACATCATTAGGCCACATATTCTAAGTGGAAAGGTTAGAAGAACACACAGAGGCATCTGAATCCTGATTTAAGGGCGAGGAGAGGTTTGAGGGCGGCACAGGCATGAGCTTCCAATATCAGTATGGTGAGGCCAGGTAGGAAGTTAGAGGCATTTATTGAGGGTTAGGTATACTTTATGAGGAGTCTGAGAGAACAGTACATTAATAAATAACATAGTGCCAACCTTTGAAGAACAGTCTACCTGTGTCATGTAAAGTTTAAACCAGCTTAGACGAAGGCTGAAGAGACAGCTTTCCCTCTGAGACCCAGTACCAACCAATTTTTTTTTAAGTAGCTAGGGAAATGAAGTGACTCGCCAAGGTCCCCTAGCTGGCAGCCAAACCAGAAATAGAGTCTCTAGATCCTGACAGTCTAATATCCCCTTTTTCATCATGCTGTTCCTCTTTGATGTAATCCTACTCTGGAGCAAAATGGCAGAATGACATTCCAGTACAATTGAGAAAAGATATACATGAAACAACAAAAATAAAACTTTTTACAGACAACACACTGACAGCCAGCACGGCCAGCTCCAGTGGCACGTCCTCTGTAAAGGCTGTCTTCAACTGCTCCATCAGAAGGAACCCACACCAACACAGTGCTGGGTCTCTGCTTCCGTTTGTACGTCTTCATTTTGTCTTCTACTATGCTTTACAATTGGCTGCTGGTCAATCTAGCTCCTCTCTTCGGATATTAAATTCCTTATTAATAAGTTTTAAGTTAGGATTTGTCTTATTATCATCTTCATCTCTAGCACCTAGCACACTGCCTTATTATTTATGCATCATAGGTACCAATAATTGCTTATGTAGAACTGAGTAAGTTAGGGAACCAAGGGCTAAAATAGGGTAATTAATCTATTTCAATGAAGAAGGATCACTAGCCAGCAAGTTTGAGAAAAGGGCAATGACTGACCCCTACCTGCCTCTCCACCCTGGCTCCTGCCTATCACCAGAAACATCCTGTTCCCTCATGGTCACTTGAGGTCTCTGGGTGTCCCGTCGCCTTTCTGAGATGTCTTGATGGGCTGGGGGTTGGACCGGGGGAATGTCTGAGACCCAGGAGGGAGCCATTCTTGGCAGAGTTGAAAGGGGCCGAGCTTGGAAGTGGGAGGGGGGAATCAGCCCCATGGAACCTGAAGAATCAAAAGCAAAGACCGTCAGTTTCCCAGACAGTGGCAATCACCAGTCCCCTCACCTGGTCCCACTGACCTGAAGGTGGAAACATCTCGACATTTTTTGAACACTCTAGATTCTGTCTCCAGCCATCTATGTTCCCCTGGACAATAGGAGAAACAAGGACACTTCAATTCAATGTTCAGGCCACCTTCCTAAGAGAAAGCCCCCACAATAACAAAGTTATGATCCATAAATTACAGCCAGGTCCACCTGACTCTCGGCTCCTCTTTTCCTACTTCCTAAAAGAAGTAGGAGATTCCCCAAGATAACTAGCTTGTGCCCAGATCCTAATAGAACCCAGGCAATAACTATGACATAGAGAGAGTTTACTGAGAGACAGGCTTAGGGGGAGCTCTTAGGCTTTACTCATACTTTTAGGATTCTGGGCAGTACCTTTACCTTCCTCCTTAAGTTTCTATAGTCTCTGCTGCTCCTGGCTGGAGGTGAGAAAGGAGGTAGGGGCCCAGAGCCCAGTGTCTGGAGTTCTCTCCATGGCTCAGCAAGCCCTGGGGGGAGCCCATCCAGACACCACCAGGCCATGACTCTCCTGGGTCCTTCCCTATTAAAGTGCTGGCCCAAGGCCTGGACCCAGATGAACGTGGCCACATGTGGGGTTTGATCCTGGGCAGAAAAGCCAGCTTCCTGACATCTCATCTAAATCTTGTTTGCAGCTTTCCTCTCAGTTTCTTTCTGTTATCCCCTTGGCTTCCATTCCTGTTGCCCACCTCCTCTTTCTAGAGTCCTAAAGCATAGTAGGCTCTTCAAGATCTTCCTCCTACCCAAATTCATCTACGTTTTTACTCAAATCTGAGATTCCTAACCCGTCCCTTCCTACATCCTAATCTGTTTTTTTCTTGAAGGAATTATTCTGGACCCTCACCCTCATCGCTCAACTCAATGGCCTGCGCTGGCCTCCCTGCACTCTAGCCGGGTCTCTGTTCCCCCGTCTCCTCTCCCACGGACATCCCTGTGTCTTCACCCTGCTGGACGCTGAGCTCTAAGGCTGTTCTGACCTCATCTGTCCCTTTACCCGGCCCCTTTTCCCTTCTTCCCTATGGATCCCCTGAACCCCCGAGGACCCCCCTCTCAGACCCTTCCCGCCCCCAACCGACTCCTGCGAACGCCTCTTACCCAGCGCGAGAGCGCGGTCTGGGGCCACACCCCAACACCTCGCTCCGGGCCCGGCCTCCGCCCCGACTGCGCCTGCGCACGGCGGGCAGGCTGGCGGGCCGCTCTAAAGCCCGGGTTCGCCCCGGAAGGAGGAGGAGCAAAGGTGCACGCAGGCGCAGTGGCGTCTACAGCCGGGTCCAATTGATGCGTCCGGGCGACTCCGCGCTCTGGCCGCTCCTCCCCACTCCGGGAACCCGGGAAAACTTGTGAACTAATCAGAAAAAGCAGAAGGCGGGAAATTAGCGACCCTCCCAGCGCGCTGTCCAATGGCGCGGAGGAGAACAAATGAGCTGGCCAATCAGGAACGGGATGGGGACGGGCTCGCTCGGCGCGAAGTTCGGACCCGGGAATTCCGAAGGAGGGGTCGGCGCTGCGCGCGCGCCGGGGCCGCGCCCCTCCCAGCCCCGGCTTCTCGGCTGTCAAACAGCTGCGGGGGCGCCGGCTCCGGCAGAGGAGCCCTAGAGGTCCCGGGCCGCCGCACGGCCTGGCACCGCCGGAAGAGACCACTTGGAGACTGCACCGCGCAGGTAGATCCGAAACTGGCCTGGGGCTGGGAGGGAAAAGGCCGGGTCTGCCTTCCATGATCGCGGGGGCTCCTTCCTCTGTTTTTATCCCACCCTGAGAGGCCGGGAAGCAGGGGTTTAGATCCGCTCTGTTGGAGTACATAAGGCCTCGTTTGTACTGCCTTTTGGAGGATGACAGTGGATTAATTTCCCTCGGGGGTTCAAACTAACTAGTTATGAGTGAAGGATGGGCCAGAAAAGGGGGCGCGGGCCAGCAGGAGGGGTCCATTATTTGGGTACGCAAGTTTGACAGGAAGTAGCTGCTCTTCTCCAAATTACACGGAGTGATAAGTTCTTATTGTACGTTATATGTTTGTATTACAGGACCCCCCTACACACGCACACCTCCAATTTTTATTTCCCCGGAAGCTGCTTAATGTGTCGTTATCTTGCACAGATCGGAGGTTTCCCGAACATTTTGCGGCCTGAGGACCCAGTTCTGCAGAGATGCTATAGGATGTGTTCCTGTCTTTGCATTACATCAAGACCTTCCTGGAATTTTTCCCTTGCAAGTCTGCTTAACAACCAATTTTGCACTGAGCGCCTATGCTGCTTGCCATCTGAATTTGCACTACTCAGGTAGTGTGGTCAAAATTGAAATTGCACACCGCACAGCTCAAGTCTGCATCAGACTGGAAAGAAAACATAAGCCAACAGTGGATGGCCCAAGAGTGGGAAAGGTGATAGATGCCTGAAGTGGAAGAGGTGGTGCAGAGGGGGCACTGCCCATGCTGCCCTGCTTCCAGCTGCTGCGCATAGGGGGCGGCAGAGGCGGTGATCTCTACACCTTCCACCCCCCCACCGGCACTGGCTGCACCTATCGGTTGGGCCACAGGGCTGACCTGTGTGATGTGGCCCTGCGGCCCCAGCAGGAGCCTGGCTTCATCTCTGGGATCCATGCTGAGCTGCATGCTGAGCCCCAGGGTGATGACTGGAGGGTCAGTCTGGAGGACCATAGCAGCCAAGGTGAGCAGTGAGCAGTGCAGCTTTGCCCCTGGGCAGTCAAAAGTTCCTAGATGGAATGAGTAAGGGGCTCCACAAGGACCTTGCCACCTGCTTCCTAAACTCTGCATAAGGTTGAATGGATGGTCATGGTCTAGACCAGGCGTCCTCAAACTACGGCCCTCAGGCCACATGCCACCTGCCTAGGACATTTATCTGGCCCACTGGGTGTTTTTGCCGCAGCTGCCTGTCCTGCTTAGCAGCCAACTCATCCTGGGCCCAACAGTGCGCACTCTCCGATGGTCTGAGGGACAGTGAACTGGCCCCGTTTAAACAGTTTGAGGACCCCTGGTCTAGACCTCCGTCTTCCCACCAGAAGGGTGCAATGTCAGAAGCTATCTGCAGGAGTGATCCTTGTTGGTCCTGTGTAGCTCATACCCGGCCTGGAGCATCATCAAAGAAGTGTCACAGTGGGAATGTTCTGGAGCCATTGGGGGCCAAGTTCAGACTTGATTCAGTTTCCAGCTTTGCTGAGGCACTGTTTCTGGGTTAGGGCAGTTATATGTTGAATTATGTTTTAATGATCTGGGCATGTGTCTTTCTCCCTGACTTGGGGTAGTCAGCCTCTGAAGGCCTGGATTCACATTTGAGTTCTGCCACTGGCCCCTGGCAAAGCCTCTTGGTAGAGTCAGCTTTGGGGGGGGGGATGATTAGACTATAGTTAGCCAACATTCATTTAGTGCTTACTATTATAAGCCAGGCACTGTTTTAAGTGCATTGAATGTAGGTGGCATTAATATCACCCTCATTTTACAGTCAAGGAAAATGAGGCACATAGAGGATAGGAAATTTGTCCAGGATCACATAGCTGGTAAGGTTGTAGAGCTAGGATTTGAACCACTGCACTGTTCAGAGCTGGAGTTGGGCAAGAGAGCGCATGGCTGAGGATTGGACCTCAGGAGAGTGAGGGAGGTGTCCTTTGTAGGAAAGCATAGGAAAAATAAACTTGTTCCCAGTAGACAATAAGCTTATTACCTGGTATCTATTATCTGCTGAGGGGCTTAGAATGTGAGGGAGAATTTGATGAGAATGTCATGTTCTTCCCCATGTTCCCCAGAAATCAAACAGAGTCAGATTTCTCCACTCCTGACTCTGGACATTTCTGTTTTTGTCTTTTTCTGTATCTGGTGCCCCACCATCAACAGGGACTTTGGTCAATAATGTCCGACTCCCAAGAGGTCACAGGCTGGAGTTGAGCGATGGGGACCTCCTGACCTTTGGCCCTGAAGAGCCCCCAGGAACCAGCCCCTCGGAGTTCTACTTCATGTTCCAGCAAGTCCGAGTCAAACCTCAAGACTTTGCTGCCATTACCATCCCACGGTCTAGAGCAGAAGCTGGGGCTGGGTTCCAGCCCGTGCTGCCCTCCCAGGGCGCTCCACAGAGGCCTCTCAGCGCCCTCTGCCCTGCCCCCAAGGCCACACTGATCCTCACCTCTATCGGCAGCCTCAGCAAGCTCCAGCCCCAGCCCCTCACCTTCTCCCGGAGTGGGGGTGGGCCAAAGAGCCTGTCTGTTACCACCCCACCTGGGGAAGTGGGGACCACCCCTCCTGCCCCTCCCCCACGAAATCGCAGGAAATCTGTTCACCGAGTGTTGGCAGAACTGGATGACGAGAGTGAGGATCCTGACAGCCACCCACCAGTCCTTATGGAAGCCAGGAAGAAACTCCGTGTAGAGAAAGCCCCACTGACACCCAGTGTGTAAGTGGAGAGCCCTTACTTGTCCCCTTTCTCTCAGTATCTCACTGCCCTTTGATTTCTTTTATTTCCCCAGGCTGGGAGGATGGCCCTCTACTTGAGGTTTGGGTGTGGGAGGTGGTCAGAGGCAGAAGAGATGCTAGAATGGCAAGACCTGGGTTAGCTCTGACAGGATAGACAGCATAGATAGGAGGAAATGAGTTAGGTGGGGTGGGGACAGGTCAGCAGAGGTAACTTTTACATTCCTCGGGGTGGGAAACTTGCAGCTGACACTGCAGGTTTTCAGTGACTAGTTTCACACCCAAAGGGAGACTCATACCCCAGACCAAGGGAAGACTAGTTTCTAGGCCCACCCTATATGTTTTTAAGGATAGATTTCAGGCTCACATTAGTCCACTGAGTCGATCTGGGTTCCTCCTATGGTTATCCAGGGTAAAGTTCTAGGCCTTCTTCTACAGGTTCTGAGACGTTGATGTTTCTGTCACTTCTTTCAGAAGTCGGCGTGGCCGTCCTCGGAAGCACCCAGTCAGCACCCCCATGGCTCCCCCTGCAGGTGGGGGCGGGGAGTCCTGCGCAGCTCCTTGTTGCTGCCTGCCCCAAGAAGAGACAGTGGCCTGGGTTCAGTGTGATGGTTGTGACGTCTGGTTCCATGTAGCCTGTGTTGGCTGCAGCATCCAGGCTGCCAGGGAGGCTGACTTCCAATGCCCAGGGTGCCGTACAAGCATCCAGACCTAAGGTCTAGCACCAAGGCCCCAGAAGACAACTCCATGCTGCGGGTGGACAGTGGAGTGCAAATGGACCTGACAAATGCTTCCCGTTCTTCCCTTCCCTCCCCAGGAGGGAATGGCTACAGGGAATAAGGGTGGATTGCTTTGGATACTGATTGCATTGGATACATGGCCAAGGTGACAGAAGATGGTTTCTTGCCAAAGATATTGCTGCCTCTAAGAAGTTGCCAGTGAGCTGCAAATACCCACTGTTACGAGCTGTAAGGCCTTGTTGCCATGGACACAATATCTGTGGTCAGAGCACATATCAATTGCAGAAGCCATACCTGCAACTGATGTAAGGAGTTCTTAATGTGCTTAAATGGCATTTCCTGAGGCCTTCTGGGAAAACTAGGGGCCCAGACCTAAAACAGCTTTGCACTGTGGCTAGTCCTCTGCTGACCAGATCATAGTGACCTGCTTTTCAGAGCCTTGCATCTATTTCCAAGTAAAGAACAAGCAGTTCCATTCACTCCTGAGTATTTACTCTTCTTGTGGGTCTGATATTCCTTGCTTCCCAATTCTTGGGAGAATGGCATTTGGCAAAATGTGGAGAACTAATTCAGAATCTTTGGGGAAGTCCTTTGCTCCTTCTCCCCTCCCACTGCCTCACTTGACCAAACCAAAAAAAAAGAAAAAGGATCTCTGGGGAAAGGGAGGAGAGATGAGTAGAGAAATACAAACCTGCTCATTGGAAAAGTATAAATATATGGGATGAGCTGGAGGTAAGAGGCAGGAAAAAATAAATAAGATTTCTAAGTTTAAGTGAAGATAGATCCACTGCCATTAACATAAAGTAACAGATTTGGTCAGATTCACAGGGATTTTACAACCTTTAGGGGCTTCACCAGTACCATCAGGTAAATAGAAAAACCTTATCATTTAGCTCCAACAGATGTTGGCCTGGTCCATGTATAACCCAGGTATGGTACATGTGATTTGTTGCCGTGAGCCTTACACCAAGCCGATATTATCAAAGCACCATCATCTCTATGGTTCTTATTTGGAAAGCCTTATCTTGACCTGCTCTATCCCCTCCAACCTTGATTTACCAAATAAAGTTTTCTTTCACATCAAGGAAACAGCTCCCGAGCAAAGGCCCCTAATGAGCTAGTAGCAGAAACAGGAATAAAACCTGCATATCTGGTGTGTCACTTAGGGACATAATATGCTAAAACCTTAAGTGGAAGCCAAATGGACGCTGGTACCAAGAAAGCACAAAGTAGAGTTTCTGATTGGGGTGATATGCAACAGAAATAGTATCTGAAGACTTGATTTTTTTTTTGACAGAATTTACTCCGTTACCCTGGCTAGAGTGCTGTGGCGTCAGCCTAGCTCACAGCAACCTCAAACTCCTGGGCTCAAGCCATCCTCCTGCCTCAGCCTTCCGAGTAGCTGGGACTACAGGCGTGAGCCACTGCGCCCAGCCCTTGATTTCTTAGTATAAAGCCACTGAGGGCTGCCAGAGTACAGTGGGGAAAGAAGCAGCTCTTAAGTGGGTAATAGGCTAAATGGTGACTATCTGTGGGCAGGAGTATGGTGTTCAAACCCCCTGACAGAGGCTCCCAAGAACTAGCCTATAAGGGCCCTCTAGAAAGAAACTTGGTTCTAATCCCAGCTCTCCCTCTGACATTGTGGGACCTCAAGCAGTTCAAATGGCACCTTGGTTTCAGGGTCACTTGGGTATGAGAGCAGTTAGGTATCACTGGATATCCCCATCCCCACCCCTCAATAACTAAAGGAGGATAAACCAAGGCAAAATTATCTATCTACTGTGTCCCAGGCTTCTTTATTTAAGAACAAAGTGATGAGTGATGTGGGGATTAAAATCAAGAGCATCATTGAACTTCATCCTCCTTCCAACCAGCTCCCCCAAACTCCCTGCCCCACCCCTTGTGTTCTCAATTCCTTCCTTTGTGATTGAAGAACGTAATCCCAAAAGCCCTGATACAAACTCCAGGTTCTCCCTTCCTGAGCTCCTTCCCTTGCCCGGCCCCCCCATTCCTAGAAGGGCAGGCACCTCAGTTTGAATGCATGGGAGAGCCCAGAGTGGTGACAGAGACAGAGGGAAAGGCTTCCCCCTCAGGGAAAGGGACCGAGGAGTACAGGGTGGTAAAGTGAGGGCTCCCATAGCCTGGGGTACCAAAACGGGGCCCAGGGGCCAGGGGAAAGGACACTGGGCCCCCTGAGAAAGGAGACCCGGCAGCCTCCAACTCCTCCCGTTGTGAATAGTCACCGCTGGATCGCTTGCCCTTCTGGCGCCGGTTACAGAACCACACTCGGACCACCTGCGATGGACGACATAAGGGAAAGAAGCGTTAGACCGTAAGCTCTGAAGGGTGGGTCTGGCTCTGCTTAGTCATTTTGCCCACAGCCCACAGTGGCTGGAGGAGCCAGAGCTAGGGAAAGGGAGGAGGAGATGGAGGACGGCAGGAAATGGGCACTCACATCCTTCTCAAGCCCAAGCTGCTGGGCGATGTGGCTGATCTGCTGCAGGGTGGGTTTTGGGCACTGCAGGAACAAGTTCTCCAGGTTGCCTCTCACTCGGTTCTCGATACTCGTTCTCTTTCTCTTTCGGGCCTGCACTAGGGTCTCTGCTTTGCATATCTGAGCAGATGAGGAACAGAAGACAAGGGCAGGCTTTGGACCTGCTGAGCAATGGCAACATGGGGCAGTGACTAGATGTCACCAGAGCAAGGTGATATGAAAAAGGAGGGTCCTCCAAGGGTGGCTCTGGACCCTTCCCAGAACTGAGGAATTACACTCCATCCCATGGAGAACTACTGCCCCAAGAGGGAGAGCTACAAGCCAGGGATGGAAGCAATGGAAGCTGGCCGAGACAGCGCAGGCCCCGGCGCATCCCTCCACCCTCACCTCCTGAAGATTTTCATTGTTGTCAGCTTCCTCCACCCACTTCTGCAGCAGGGGCCGCAGCTTACACATGTTCTTGAAACTGAGCTGCAGAGCCTCAAAACGGCAGATGGTGGTTTGGCTGAACACCTTCCCTAGAGGAGGCCAATTGAAAGAGAAGCAACATGAGGTGGAACACTGGGCCCTGGGACTCCAAGACCCAGGCCACCCACCTCCTCCTGTGCTTACGGGATCCCACTCTGGGTCCTACCTCACCCCAGCGGGAGCTCAAGGCCCAACTGTCTCCTCCCCTCCCTCTTCGTGGGAGGGGGTGGAGCCTGCCCCCCACTCCATTGGGCGGAAGGAAAGGCCCAAGTTCAGGACTATTCCTCCCAGGGGAGATGTGGTCCCCATGGGTCAGAATGTGCTGCGGGACCCACCAAAGAGAACCCCCAGGGTGAGCCCCACGTCGGCCTGGGTGTACCCCAGGGTGATCCTCTTCTGCTTCAGGACCTTGGCAAACTGCTCGAGTTCTTTCTGCAGAGCTTTGACATCCGGGGACTGCATTTTAAAAAGGCAAAAGACTTGTAAGAACATAAACACACCACTTTATCTACCTCCTTTTTCCACGTGGGGTCCAAGAACCTGACTGTGGCCTCAAGGAATGGTCTGTGGGACTATCCCTGCCTCCCAAGCTGCCCACGTCACATCTGGAAATAACCTATCTACACCCATTCACTGTTCCCTGACTCGTGCCTACGACTAGGGGCTTCTCTTCCCCTAGAAACGGGTACATCCAGCTGATGCAGAGCACCTCAAATGCATGGGATGGTAGGCCCCGGCCGCAGTGAAAACACCTGTCAGGTTATGATGGTTAGGTTAGAAGCTCCCACCTGGCTAGCTCATTTAATACTCACAAAAGTCTTTTTTAACTCAAGTATCACCCCCAGTCTGAGGACGTTTTGAGACTACAGAAATAAAGAGCACTATGTCTCTCTGATGCCAAATTCAACACACTCTCCCCAGCTTGCTTTGGGGGGTCTCAGAAACTGTGACACGGCCTGCATATACACGAGCACAGTACACAAGTAGCAGGTGTCATAAGAGGTGTGAATAAAATAATTTATATGTACCTGGTGCTTGATTTTTTTAAATCTGATTATCCCTTATTTTAACCACATTTTTTTTGCACTATAGCAGCATTCTCACACTTTTAAATTCAAGAGATGTATTGAACACCTTCTATAAGCCAGCGGCTACCAAGTGGACAAAAGCCCTGGCATCAACATGATCGAAGTGCTATGGGAAAAGCAAGCAGGCTACTCAGCAGTAGGGTAAAGGTGGGAAGGAAATTGTGGAGGAGGATAACAATTTTAAATGGGACAGAAGGTGATATTTGAGCAAGAGACAAGACCAGGGGCAAGCCCAGCGTGGGTGGACAGGGTAGTGCCCCACAGTGCTCAGGGAGCCCAGCAGACCCTATGGAGAGGCCACAGTGACTTTGGTTCAGTCAGGGTGAAGTGCAGAGCCACTGGAGGGTTTGTGGAGTGAAATGATCTGACTCGCCTTTTAACACACAACTCTAGCCGCCGTGTTGGCCAAAGCCCGTAAGGAGGAGGCTAGGGTGTAGCTCACAAGGCTACTGCAGCAATGCTGGCAGAGACGTTGGGGGCTGGGGCTGGAGGTAGGACGGGCTTGGTTCAGGATATTTCCTAGGACAGGACAAGAAAGGAACAGAGGACGACTGGGTTTGGCCTTGCACAACGGGGTGTCGAGCGGAGCAGCTCAGGGAGCCATCCACAGGAGACAGAAAACGCGGTAGTCACCTCACATCTAAATGCTATTTGAGCCTTAAGGGTGAAAGAGAGGAAGGAAGGGTGGAGAGAGCAGAGGATGAAGGTCTGGGCCCTGGGGCATGACAATGAAGCAGCCAAGGGGACAGAGGAACAGCAGCTTTTGATAATAAACAAGGCCTTTTTGTAGTCCTGGAAGCCTTAGGGGAAGTGTTTCAAAGGTGATCGTGGTGATCAATCACATCCAATTCAAATAGGCCAATATTCATTCCCAACTTCTGCTCAGCCAATTACTTGAGCCTATAAATACCCTCAGCTGTCTTCCTGGATTTTCCAAAACCTATTTTGGGGATTTGGAACAAGGTAAACCCCAGTTCAAACCTTTGCTTCATCATTTAGCAGTTAAGACCCGTGAAATAGGCTAATAACACCTCCCCCTAGGAGATTTTGTGCCAGGTAATGAGATAATGATGTATAAACTGACCACCCAGCCAAGCACTTAGGAAGTGGACCCCAGTTGGCAGCCATTATTATTCAAGGCTCAGCAGTCACCTCCTGGGAAGAGTCGGGACTGCCGGTCCCGCCTGAAACCACTCACACCTTCTGTGAGGTCTCAAGGCTTAGTACTTGATCTCTGATTGCTTACACTTATTGCTTCGGAGGCCAGGAAGAGCCATGTTTAACAGTCCCCAGCAGGACTGGAGCCTTCAGTCCCTCAGCACCCCACATTTGGGAACTGCCAGGAGTAACTTCCCCACATCTCTTCTCCTTGTGCACAGCTCCTGGAACTGAGGCTGAACCTGATCAGAATCGGCCCG